TTTAAGGTTTTTTTTTTTTTTTTTTTTTTCAGCAGGGATAAATCAGTGCTGTTAATTACTACGAGCAACAAACTAATGTCTAATATCTTTCACTGACCTTGAATATGTATGTGGACAATGAAGAAGAAGAGTTCAGATCGTCACATTAAGAATGAATGGCTCTCATTTTACTTTAAAGCAACATGCTTTGTGGCCAGGATTTTCTCACATATCAAACACCCAACCATCTGGGACATAATGAGAAGTGAACTCACCGACAGGTGACATCTCTGGGACGCTGGCAGAGTATGGGCCCTCCAGGAACCTTGGCTCATTGTCATTGATGTCCTGGACTTTGATAATAAACTCTGACTCGGGCTCTAATGGTCTGCCCGTGAGCATGTCAACAGCCTGCGCTCTCAGTGTGTAATAAGGCTTCTCTTCTCGGTCCAGGCTCCTTAAGGCATGGATGTCTCCAGTGCTTGGCTCAATGGTGAAAACAGAGCCAACTCCTTCACCTGAGAGTGTGTACTTCACCATACTATCTCCCTTATCCAGGTCAGAGTGAAGCTGAAATGTGAAAAGCGACAGTGAGAAATCTCATTGGGAGCTGGTGAGTAAATGACTACTTATTACTGTAATTTACCTGTAAAAATATGCAAATACATGCAAATACAAAATCAGCAAACAAAAGCCAGAGACATTTCTGTTACAAAATATGATCATTTACAAAACACAAATCTAGCATACCCAATGAGACTATGACAATTTATTCTAATCCATTTGCTTATAGTAAATCAAATTTGGCCTATCCAAACCAATCCTACATTATTTCAGTCTCTGATCATGTGACTACATGTTGGCTAACAGTGTGGGTGGCATATTATTACCCATACAGTTTGAGGATGTCCAAAGAGGATTGATGTGGATAACCCTCAGTTATTTATTTTCTGTTAGCGGCTCAACAACATTAATTTATTTACAGGACAGATATTCTTCAACTGAAAATATAATGGCTTTACTGAAGGTTTTATGGAATTCTCTTTTTCAGAAAAGATAACTGCTAAATAAAATATTACAAAACATAAGGACTTTACAATTATAGAGTGTTGCAGGAAACTGTTATCTTTTCAACTCAGAGGAAGCGTAAGGAAATACCAATTTTTTCAGCTGGGGTGAAGCTGAGTTTGACTGTAAAGGAAGGATTAAGTTTTAAGTCCTGGAATTAATAGTCTGAAAGGGCGGAAAAATCACTGATATTCAAACGGAGGAGGAACTCTGTACTGCTAAATCCTGTCAGATAGCAGATAATCCATGAGCTACAACCCAGCCTTGATAGAGCTAATCTGTGTCAGGTTTGTTATTTATATCACTAAACCTTTATGAATGTCAGTGAAGCCAGTAAATTAAAAAAACACTATCCTAAATTGGTAACCGCAGATGGATGTAAGTGCATGGTCTCACAAAATGTTAGAGGTAAAATGTTCAGAGGTAAGGAGGATGCTGAGCGTTGACAGTAAATACCAAGAAAAAAAAGGCAAAGCTCACAATAAGAGTTATTTTCTACTGAAAAGGTCAAGTTAGGAAAGAAAATGTGACAGTGGGGTAATATAGCCTCACTGCAAAGGGCAAACAAGAAAGTGTAACTTGCTTCACATGGAAAAATAAAGACAAAAATAAAACTTGCAGAGATATTGGCTACTTTTGTCAGCATTAAAGAAAATGAGAGAAATTCTCTGACTGTTAGAAATTAAAATGGTTAGTTTGAATCACAATTTGTATTTCAGAGGACGATTCCTAATCTGCTTGGGTCTAATTGTTGTATCTGCAATAATACTTGTATTAACTCCGCAAAATGTTAAAATTAGAATCCAGTTAAAGGCTTTCTTGTGACAACCACTGAAACATTATATATGTAACATTATATATTTGTTCAGACTGCTTCACCAATTATCACTCAAAGTTATACGATACAGTATTTTTCTAGTTTTTCTAGTGAGAAAGGACCGAATGTTTAACCGAGCACCTGACAATCTCAAACTTCAAATATTGTTGCAGTTTATGGATAGTCAAACTGACATTTATTCAAACTGACCCATTAATTTTTAAACAAGATATAACTGAATTGAGAGTAGCCTATAATGTGGAATGCACATTGTAAGTGCAAAGCACACAGTGAAATAACTATACTACTTTCCCCATTCCAGTGTTTTTCTTGCTTGCTCTAATTAGGGTTTTCCTGTCATGTAACTTTTATGTAATATTTCATGCGCAATGCCACTTTAATTGTGGTGGCAGCTCAAACATTACACGATGGAAGGTGTTATGGGGGGGCCGGTGCCACCCCTGGCCACCACGTAGACATGCCCCTGCATGATGCCACCTCTGATCACAGTCTCCCCCAACTAATCATTACAGATATGGCAGGTGTGAAGCCACAATGGCAAAGTTCAAAGTGTTATGATCTAATGAAAATGCACTGGGACCCACTATCTTAAGTGTGCAGAGTGTCAGACAAAACACAGTAACTGTAAGCTGGAAAATATCTAACGCTACTAAATTAACTGCACTACTAATTTATCTACATTTTTCAGCAGCACAACAGTTTTACACTAATCTAATTTTGCTTTACGGTCAAGTAAGCTGAGGCAATAATCAAATGATCTCTTATATTCTTTCATTCATACATTTAATGTAAATTAGTTCATGCGATTAATTACATTTAATGATTTTTTTAAATGCATATTCACATTTGACAGAATTGTATGTCCTTTTTAAAGAAAATATTTAGTAAAAAATCTGCTGATCATCACAACATGTTGATTAGAATGCTTATGTATCTGCTGAAGTATACTCTCACTCTAATTGACATTCTCATTGTTTTGTGCCAAAATAAATGGGGTTGTAAATCTAAAATAAATTATATTAACAACAACTGACTGAACATATTGAATTTCAGATGAACTGCAATATTAATTTTAACAACCTAAATTCTTAAAATCAATATATCACACATTGCTTTTCAGCAGTGGTGCTATGGAATATACGGCCACACTGCAAAAAAAAAAAAAAAAAGGTAGTTTACCTGAGTTTGCAGTCCAAATTGCATGTGAATCCAAAGGACTTTTCTTTGAAACTGTTCTCGCACATATACAACGTTACCACTGACTTTGTCTGGTTTTGTTTCTTTTTCGTGAACCCATATAGTCCGATTCACAAACAAATTACTCTTTTGAGCAGATTGCTTTAACACATTCAAACACACATTTAACAACAACAACATAAAAATCTCACAATTTCAGGACTTACCATTTGAATCAGTATGACAAATCCTTCACTGAATGAAATAATTGAATCCGTCAGAGCATAGGCCTATATACAGTAGGCCCCACATATAAAGCAGTGACAGATGATTTATATATGATACATATTATACTATAAATACCATTTTCTTTACTCTTTCATTGTAGTTTATAATATAATACTTTAAACTTTAGCTTCTGGTTATGCTGATTAAATAATCTGTTAAATATTTTTATACTATTCTGTTGAACAGTTTCATATATTCAATAGTTGTCTGAGATAGTACCTTAGTTTAGATAAGCTAACTTATTTTTAAAGGGGTCATATGATGCAATTTAAATTTGTCCTTTCTCTTTGGAGTGTTACAAGCTCTTGGTGCATAAAGAAGATCTGTAAAGTTGCAAAGACTAAATTCTCAAATCCAAAGACATATTCTTTATAAAAGTTAAGAGTTAACCACGCCTACCTAAAACGAGAAATAAGGCGTAACTTTTAATTCTCACTATAGTATTGTTGTTGCCGCCGCCGTCATGTCGTGAAGGCGCTGTGTGTTTCGTTGTGAAAGCGAAACTACTGTGTTTGGCCTTCCAAAAGAGGACGATATCCACATCGTCATGCCTGGAGCTGATTTGTGCTGGTCGCTGAGGAAATACATCAACTTCACGCTGTGGATCGCCGGATCGGCTTTCACCGTGGACGAAGCGGAGTCCAGCCTGGGGTCGTGACATGTGGTTGCCGCAAGCCTGCCGGACGCTCCTCCGTCGAATCCGGCGTCCGCGCCGTTCTCAAGCCCGCCCGCCGCCGCTCACTCAAGCTGGCCTCTGCTCACTCTAGCCCGCCGCCCTCTCCGCTTACTCTAGGCCTCCGGCCTCCGCTCACTCTAGCCCACCGTGTGTTTCGTTGTGAAAGCGAAACTACTTTGTTTGGTCTTCCAAAAGAGGACATGACTAGAAATCAGTGGTTAAGTTGTATTTACAACACTGTTCCAGAACAGTTCAACCCAAATATTCAGATGTGTCCAGCGCATTTTATGGAGGACTGTTTCCTGATCCTGGTAGAGTAGACTACAATGCCGGCTGTTCTGACTCACAGATTGTAAGTACATTTTTTATATTTAAAGAATTTGCCACTGACGATTCAAACGTGAGTTTTTGAGCAGTAGAGAGTAGCACTTGTTGTTTGTCATTTCTCCAATCACAAATGCAGACATGGCTTTATGTTTACGCAGCACGATGCAACGCGTAAAAAGATGCAACAAATGCACACTGGATGCAACAAATGCCTCGTTTATAATGGGTTTTAATGTTTTTGTCTCGTTGCTCTGGCCGGACAGGGCATCACAATATGGTAAGGGGCGTAACATTTCCGTCACACGCTTGAGGTATTCAGCCAATCACAACGCACTGGATAGCTGGCCAATCAGAGTACACCTCGCTTTTCAGACCGATGAGCTTTGTAAAAAGTTACACGTTTCAGAAAGGCGGGGCATAGAGGAGAAACAATAATGTACAGTATTTGGAAAATAATGTGTTTTTTGAACCTTAAACTGCATAAACACATTTCATTACACCAAATACACAAAATAATGTTCTTTTTAGCAACATCATATGACCCCTTTAAGCTACAAGCTACAGTTTGAAAGTAGCTTTCCCAACACTGCACTGCCATATGGCTAGTTCATCAGTGTGAATATGCAAATTCATCCCACCTTATTATATGGACCTACATTTTTAGTAAATGTAAAATGATAAAATAACAGTGATGATAAAATGTCAACAACAGTTAACAACTACTCTTTAAAAGCAGCTTGCTCATTTGATGCCAACATGAGCATCATCCATGCAATTCATAAGTAGCCTGTAAGCCTAATTTTTCCAGTGACCTGAGATAAAGGAGGTTATAGTCAACAAACCCTATTTATAGTAACAGGCTAACATATTCGTTTGTAATTAAAGCTTTATTAGCTCTTGCTACTGCTGTTCTTGGGGTTACATAAATCAGAGGTTACAGGCAAGGCTCTACAATGTTATTTGACTGATCTTGAGAGAAAAAGACTGAATTGTTTTTCAATGTGTAGATGTGGCATGTGGTTGAAAACATGCCCGTGACAAGCCCCTGTTAGGCCACACTGATTGCACTGGCATTGACTGCAAACTATTTAATTTAGCCCTGATCCCATTTAAGCTTAAGGTGCTCAATCCAAACTTCCTTTGTAGAGGACCTTGATATTGAATTTTCAGCCTGGGATACAATATTGAACCCTTTTAACCTTCTTCCTTTCCTGTGAATGCTAATTTTAATGGTTTCAGGCTATAACATCCACATTTTTATGTTTGACATGTAACAGTTTTGGTGGATCAGAACATGTCCCACAGACAGAAAGATGATGGTGTGAGTCCACTGACGTCAGATGTCATTTTGTTTGGTTTGTGCAAAGTCAGTTTTCCAAAGTCAAACTAAAGCTGGGCGCACACTGTGCAATTTATAATAGTCCTTTTCAATTGTTGCTTGACAGATTGTATGAACATGATCCTCATGTCACACTGTAGGATCTCAGCTTTCATTAATGTCAGACTGTACGACAGTCAAGACACTTTAAAAACAGACCCATGCAAGAAAAATCAACCCTTGACACGTTTGGTGAAGGTGAGCTGCATTACACACAGGAATGAAATGGTGGCTAATGGTGTGTGTCCACTGGCGCAGAGCAGAGCGAACATTTTCAGTTAATTCCTATGAAAGTTGCACAAATTACCTTTGGAGAGCATCTCACATTCTTTGCTGCTCTTGCAAATCCATGGCAATCAACATCTGTGCATTTAGTGTACATCTGAATGTACAAAAATATATATATGTATTTATGTATGAATATACAAAAGTTGCATTCCAATGCACTGCAACAAAAAATTCTTCATTATTATATTTTTATCTTGTTATATGTAACCACTTCTTGCAGTCTCCATTGCAACATCTGGTTGCTCAACTCATGAACCATGTTGTGTGGTACGTAGAATATTTAGTTTTAAGCAACTCAGAGCTTGTCATGAACAAAGAAGGGAAGATGAAAGAATAACTACAAGCTCTAGTTCAAGCCGTTGCATACACCCACAGTTTTGTTCCCAATCTATTCTCAATACCTTTGACCCTAAACATCAGCTCTGAGAATCAATATCATCTTACCTTTCCAACATACTGCGGATCAGATCCCATGTATTCCTCCAGAACAAAGAACTGGTTCCACACCCATCCTCTCTTGACTCTGTGAACTCCCATCATGCCGTGTTTCCTATGTGCCATCATGTTCCTGTACTGCTCCTTCCCCATCCTGCTCTGGGATGAAGAGTGGAGGGGAGAAACGAAACTTTTGTCTAAGAGGCACCAGAGGAACAGCAGCAGGCAGTTCCCCATGAGCATTGGAACAACCTTTAGGTGCAAAGATGGACACAGGTGACTTTTATGGTGACGGCAAAGGAGCAATGAATCCAGTATGAAGAACTCCACAAAGCCTCGGCGACACGGAACAACTAACATCCATGGAATTCCTGGGGTGCTTAAAATGTTAGTGAACCACCTGCAGGAGAAAAGAAGTAATGGCACTTAAAAATCAATGAGATTATGAGGATTTGCAGAGGTGTCTGTGTATCATGTTGGCATGCAATGAAAGCAGAAGACAACCACGCTGTCTGTTATGTTTTCATCTTTGCAAAGTAAATCTTTGTCTGTTCAGCTATAATGTAATCTCACTTGAAGGGCTTTACAAATACTGAGCTAACTCAAGTTCGTTTAGCACATTTAGCACTGGGAGGTTTGAGAAACAAGCATGTAAAAAAGACTGCAAGAACGAGGCAGTTTGGCAAGAGTTGAACAACTGTTGGCAGACCACCAGGGGAGTGGTGGATGTGCAACTCTGTGCTCGTTTTCAGTTAATTAGTCTTGAAAATGAGGTGGTCCCAATTGAATAAGAGGGTTGTTTCTGACCTAGCAACAAAGGTGGTATGTCACAGGAAGCAAAAGCCAGTCCAGATGCATAGGGTCACAAATCAGACAACTTTCCTCTTAATTACCCTCTAAATGGAGAGAACCTGAACAATTATGTTCAAGAGGACTATCCATCACTGTTGTACCAATTGTTATGAGAATTATGGTGGTATATCAACCAAAAGCTTTAACATTTTGACTGTGTATCAGATGGAAATATTTTATGTTAATTAATATAATATTATGACTGGAGGTAAGTAATGAAGCCATGTTAGGCAAAGACTTTGACAATCTTCTTTAAACAATATAGAATATTCCCAACTGGTTCTAAAGTGACTGGGTGAATGTGTTAAAATCAGTGAATCGATAAGAGGCTGGAGTACAAGTAACAAAGCTTATTTATTGCTGTAATATAAATACACAATATAATAATTCACAAAAATAAGGTACACAAGACACATGTGAGACAGAATATATATATAAATCACTGGTGTACATACAGTATAAATCTTGTATAAGGGTTATGGGAAATGATACAACACTTCTACCACCACACGCTTAAAATAAAGCCACAATTAAATGCTGGTTTTTACTTGCTCTTTCTGCAGGTTATTACACTAGTAGTTACATTACACTAGTAGACAGCGACAAGTAAACCTCTTTACAAGCCAATTAGTTGCTCTAGAGATTAATTCAAAAACATTGAATTTATACATAAATGAAATGACTGACAAATGAGTCATTCAAACATTCCCTCAAACACTGATTCATTTAGGATTTAAACAAGTGACTAGTTACATTTGGGAATAGCATACTACCATATTAGGCTTACCATTTCTGGAATATTTAGATAAGCCTACAATATAAATACTATATATTATGCTATATGCAATTCCCCTTCAGGAACTCGAGCTGCGTCGAAGTCGCTTTGGGAATGCCCTTGCGTGACCGCGTTCTGAAGCACGTGTCAAATCAGT